GCACCAGACCTAAGCAATAATTCGTTATCCACTAGGCCACAAATAAACCTATTCTCCGCTAGAAAGAAGCCTTTTAAAGCATCCGTTCAGCCAAATTTTTGAACTTTTATAAGTCTGAAAAGTCATTTAGCAGATTTTGATTTCAGTTTCGGATCCGTCATACTAGATTCTATAAAATTCAGAGAAAATCTCCAGACTACAGCTCACCTTAAGTGCCTTTCCCTAGTTAATTAAGCTAACTCAAAGTCATCCATTTGAATGGGATGGGCAGTGTCTTAGCTATTTGATGCCAGATCTAGGCCAACATAAAAAAAACCCAAAAAAGACGTGATGAATTATGCTTTCTTCGTCGGCTGATATCCAAAATGATGTGCAAAGAAAAGGGAAGTCTGATCGCGGGAAAAGAAAGCCAAAGAAAAAAAATGTCGTGAAGCTGGGCGAGAAAGGAGTTTATTTCTGACTCACAAAGTCATTTAATGAATTTTTCATCGTCTTCCAGTGGGGATTTCTCTTGAAACAAGCAGAAAAATGACCACCTAGGGGAAAAATGGGAAGAGTAGACTGGAGAACTGAGAAATAAGAACTGAGAACTGAGAACTGGGCACTGAGAACTGAGAACTGGGCACTGAGAACTGGAGAATTGAGAACTGAGAGCTGGAGAACTAAGCACTGAGAATGACGAGATAATTTCTTTGGAGTGCTAAAAGGAATCAAGAAAAAAATGAAGAAAAAAATGAAGGAAATGAGTTTTTTTTCGAGGAAACATCAACACCACCTTTGAAATAATAAAATCATGCATAAATTGTTCGTGTTTTGTGTGTTGTTAACGATTTTGCATCATTTTAAAGTCTTTTTGAAGGGAAATCTCAAAGAAAAACGATGGCATTGAGCAAGTAAACTAAATCACCAATTTCTATAGTTTCAAAAAAGATTCAGAAAGTGTTCAAGATCTCTAAAGTACAAGAAGAACGAGTTTTTCAAATACCGCAATGATACGATACTGTTCTTTCGCAACTTTCGCAATGATACGATGCTGTTCCTGGTTTGGTAAACAAAAGAAAGAGAGCGCTTTTAGAATCCTACTAACTACAAGTCATTACAATTAAAAGAAAGTGAATAAAGTGAACAAAACAAGTTGAATTATTTGATTATAGGGGAAATGGATGATGAGAAAAGGGCGACATTTGAATTGAAGAATTGGATTAACTTGGGGAAGACAAAGAGTATCGAAAAAAGGCGATTGGAAGAGAAGAATAACGATAAAACAACAAAAACAATACTTTTATGATTGATAATCTACTCTATTTCATCTAATTGAGAGGCAAAGAGACTCAAAAACTCAAAAAGATCAGTTTTGAAAAAAGTTCAACTATTCAGACTTCTCAGAACGCTTCCAGAACACTTTCTCAATTCTAACAATCAACAAATTCGTAGGTGGTGTCTTTTCCCGTTGTCTAAAGTCTGTTTTTGACAAGAGGTGCCAAAGACAGACTTTCAATTTTCAAGTGAAACATCGTGACAAATATTTTTTCCAATCCAATCACTTTGAGCACATGAGCATCAACTTTGAAACAAATATGTTCCCTAGCTTTTGCAGAAGATGGACAATAACATGTGTACTAATCTCATTAAATGCTTGAATTATCATGTGTTGGGTCCTGTTGTGAGAATGGATTGTGAAGCCTAATAAATGGTGTTGCGTTGTCCCTCCCCTTTCGCCATTGACAATCCAATTTTGAGCTCAAAGATCTTTGTTGTGTCAAAGATGTTGTTCCAGGCTGTCCAATTTAAATAGTTATTATACCAATCGATAGAGAAAGACCTGGTGCATCGAATGATATCAAGAAGATTGAAATTGAACACCCCAACACCGAGATATTTAAGCTCAAAGTTAGATAGCTAATGGGAAAAGCGGCGGGGCGCGTATTAAATTTCCGATGACCTAACAAATGAGGTATTTAGGCTATGATAGTGCCTGTGGTAATACTATCTTCGCATTGTCACAAATATATGCATTATTAGATTGCAAGCGATACAAGCTCAGAGCCTGCCTCTGGCCACAAAGATAACCCGGATCTAGCGAGCTAGGGCTAGACGACAAAGCCAGGATCTGACTTGACTTTTGAACTGATCCACAGAGACTTTTGTGGATCAGTTCAAAAGTCAAGTCAGATCCTGGGTTTGTAGTCTGGCCCTAGCTCATAGTTTAATCATGGCCCGGTCCCTGGCTTTGATCCTGACCCGGAAAAAAGCCTTTAGAGACAACCCTGATCAAAAAAATGTTCAAACTCATAGATTCTTAACCCTTCTAGACAATCCTTGTTATAATTTTAAACCCAAGAAAGTAGGAGGAAGCTGGAAAGAACGCTAGAAAAAGCCGGAAATCAAAAGATTAAGTCTGTCTGCAAAAATCCAAAGACTGGGTAAAGCTTTGAAAGCTCTGTGACATGGAGAGCTTGATCAAGTCTCGTCTCCACTACCAGGAAGCCTTTTTTTATCACATTTCCCAATAGGTCCACCCATTTCAATATCAAATGGGATCAAATGACGGGAAATTGTGGAGAGGAAACTGATGAAAGTACTCATTCATTTACCCCAATCTTTTGTATCAATTTGAGTGGGTTTTTTGGTCTTTTCTATCTTTTCTATGGCCATCCACTTCTCGCACGTCATTCCCCATCGATCATCCCCGCACATCAATCATCAAACCCATTCAATGAAATCATTTTTTAGGTTTTTTAGAGAATACCACCCCCATCCGATAAAAGTAGAGTTTGAAGTGGCTAAATTGGCTAAATTAGCTAAATTTGAGCAAGTTTAACGTGATTTTTCTGAAGTATTGAATACTGATTCAACTATTGAATCAATAGTTGGGCAACTAAACTGGCTTAGGATTGGGTAACTAAGCTTTGATATAAGTATGAAGCCTAGCCTGAAGTGATCTGTCGCTGTTGGGGTCACCTTGGCAATTGCAAGCACATTGAGAGTTGGGTAACTAAGCCGGGTTTTTGCTAAGGTTTAAATCAAATAGTTGGGTAATTAAACCCTGATCCTGAAGATGTTTATTTCTAGGTTAAACCTGGTTTGCTAAGAAAATAGTCGTCACTGTACCAAATTCAATGAATCATTTCATTTCCGATCTCTTTTGAAACATGATTTATACCCAAAAAAAATGGCAATTGTTGAAGTAAACAATAGACATAAATAGAAACATCCGAAAATAGCTAGATCGGGTTTTTGTTGTATTGTTGTGAGAATTGAGATGAGTTTTGTGGAAGAAAAGGGAAAGAATAGATTCTCTTTTATTCCCTTTTGTTATTTTACACTGGACTTATGTCTAATCTTTACAAATACGTGATTTCTTCAGAAAAAAAGGCTTTGTCGTAATGGAAAGATCGTAAATCATAACTTTTTTGCTTATGATTGACGTTTTTTTTTTGTTAAACAAGATCGCTAATTTGATCTGTTGTCGGGCCTCCGGGGAAACCCGAAAATTCTGATGTGAGAGGTTGTTTGGTTTTGAGAGTTGAATAGGAAAATCAGATAAATAACGTGTGTTATTAAATCAAATCCTATAATTGAACCGGTTAACTCGAGTGGGCAATGGAAGTAGACAGTTTTGAATTGAGATAGAGCCTGGTAAGTGGATCCGGATCCCAGTGAATCCGGATCCCAGTGAATCCGGATCCCAGTGAATCCGGATCCCAGTGAATCCGGATCCCAGTGAATCCGGATCCCAGTGAATCCGGATCCCAGTGAATCCGGATCCCAGTGAATCCGGATCCCAGTGAATCCGGATCCCAGTGAATCCGGATCCCAGTGAATCCGGATCCCAGTGAATCCGGATCCCAGTGAATCCGGATCCCAGTGAATCCGGATCCCAGTGAATCCGGATCCCAGTGAATCCGGATCCCAGTGAATCCGGATCCCAGTGAATCCGGATCCCAGTGAATCCGGATCCCAGTGAATCCGGATCCCAGTGAATCCGGATCCCAGTGAATCCGGATCCCAGTGAATCCGGATCCCAGTGAATCCGGATCCCAGTGAATCCGGATCCCAGTGAATCCGGATCCCAGTGAATCCGGATCCCAGTGAATCCGGATCCCAGTGAATCCGGATCCCAGTGAATCCGGATCCCAGTGAATCCGGATCCCAGTGAATCCGGATCCCAGTGAATCCGGATCCCAGTGAATCCGGATCCCAGTGAATCCGGATCATGTAAACCATTAAACTGGATCATTGATTGAAACGGGATCGAATTGGATCGACACTTTCTTTTAAATAACTTTACCTTAATCTTACTTGAATCTTATTTTCTTTTTGACAATTTTGACAATCTTCTGATTGATCTACTTCAGGTTTTCGCCGGGAAATCCTTCAGGAATTGACGAATCAAGCAAAAGTTTACAGCGTCGAAGCACACAAATCTCGTACATAATCAAAAAAAGAAAGAAAATGAAAATGAAGATTATCTTTACCTGAGATTCAAGATGATACTTTATAATTAAAGTTCTTTCTATCAAAATTGTTTTCTAAAACTTTCAAGAAAAAAAAGTTGGATTTTTTCAGTGTCAAGTTGCAAGGGAAACGTCACTTACAGCTTTCAAAAGGTTACAGCTTAAAAAATTGAATTTTGATTAAAGAAAGAATATTTCCCTGCTTTTGGCAGTTACTTGCAAAAGTGAACACAAAAATGACATCACTTTGAACTTTTAAAGGCAAAAAAGAGGCAAATTTGCAAAACTGGATTAACCGGGACTTTTTTAGCATTTAGAACTGAATCAGTTTTGCAATTAGCATTTAAAACTGAATCAGTTAAGCATTAGCATTTAAAATTGAATCAGTTTTTGCAATTAAAATCATTTTAAAAACAATCTTTATTACTTTAACCCGTAATATTAAATATAAGTGAAATAGGCCAAAATCACAGATTTTTTTTAGGCAAGAAAGTCACTTAAAACCACCGTAACCCAGAAAAAACAAAAAGAAATGAAAAACTAATTCTGAAAATTGAATGTTTGACCCGAATGACAGTAGATGGCACGAATTCGGGCTTTCGCTGGCTCGAAATTGTTTTGAAGGGAGAGCGTCGAGTAGTAGAACTCGAGCGCTTTCTCGTAGTCACCCTGAAAAAGAATTTGGAAAATTCGAAATGCTATTAGCAAACGAGATCGATTAGTATTTAGGGTGAAAAATGAAAAATGAGCTACAATGCTTGCGTAGATATTCGCAATGGTGACGTGAATGGCAGCGAGTTGTGGTGATTGCTCGAAGGCCATCCCGGCGGTGACGAGCGCCGAGTGAAGTAGGCCCGCCTGATGGCAGACATTCGAGAGAGCCACCTGCAATTTGATGATAAACTATTTCCGTAAACGAGTCAGTCTAGTTCAGTTCAAGATCAGCGCTCAAGTGCTCATTCTGTAGTCCAATTTAGTCCATTCTGTAGAACTAGTTCCTACAGCGGCTCGAATCGGAGAAGAGAACTTTTGACCAGGGAATCCCTTGAAGTTAGTTTTCAGAAACGATCTGATTCCTAGTAAACACTCCTAGGCATTCCAAACTTATAAAACTTCAAATCCTACTTATAATAAGTAATTTTTGAGACCTAAGTCTCGGCCAATTCTCTGCCAAATTTCGACCAAGTTTCAGCCGGTAGGCTAGATGTTACAAGCTAGCCTACTTAAGATGTTTTCACTGTTAGCGAATCATGTCTTGATGCCCTAGTGGCTAGTGTGTTAGCGTGTCGGTCTTCATTAGCGAAGTGTAGCGCTGGTTCGGATCCACTCTCGATCATATTTTGTTTTTTTTAGAAAAACAAACGTTACTAACTACTTACTCGTTAAATTAATCGTTAAATTAATCGTTAAATTAATCGCTAAATTAATCGCTAAATTAATCGCTAAATTAATCGCTAAATTAATCCCTAGATTAACAAGTAATTTGATCCATATTGATTATAGATCTTAGCAATAATCTCTTAAATAAGTTTGTTGTAAAAAAAGTTCTGACTTTTGAATAATTGACCTCTTTTTTTGATTTCTAGGCCTGGCTCTTTTAAGTTGAAGACAACTGCTTCGTATTAACTGATCTAGTCTTACAATAAACGAAAGAACTGCATAAGATACTAAGCTCGCACTCACCAACGCCACATCTCGCATATGCGGTGGCGCATTCTGTAGCGAGTGTCGCAAACAGGCGATCGCTTTCGGCGCATCGCCGACCACTCTCCAATACAACGAAGAAACCAATGTCAACAACCAATGCACATCACCGCCTTCACCTTAAATCAAGAATTCTCTTTCAATAACTCCTTTCAAAAACCATTCATTTCCGAGGTGGCTTGCGAGAATTTGATTGCATGATGGAGTTTAGCCGCCACATGGTCGATACTCTCTCGATCATTGCCGAGAGATTTCAGAGCCTAAATTTTCATTGTCTTTAACTTGACCATTGCTAACCTCAGTCAATCCTTTCTCTGGTTTGTAAAACAAAAATTGATCAGCTAGCGGTCCAATTGGAAGATGATCAAGCGAAAGAATTGGAGAGTATTTTTCTTTTTTTGGAGTCGGGCATTCAGGGACGAGGTTAGCAACGGAAGGGACTGGAGTTCGGATGTCAATATATCTAGATACAAAATCATGAATGAAACTTGAACTTTTCGAAATAATGAGTAGAATTTAAAACAAACTTTTCCAGATCCTCTCCTTTTGCCGTCACCGAGACCCAAGTGGGAACGGGAGCTTCGATAAGGGTTGAGAGCTGTAAATGGAAAGATGTGAAAATGAGTGAGGCTTTTTTAATGCCAAATTGAATACTTAGTATTATTTGTTGTCTTTTTTTCAATACTTTTGTGACTCCACTACACATTTGAGTGGCCGTTCTCGGTGGTGGGAAGACTTGAAGTCCGGCTCGAACCTGAGAGGCTAATGGACGTGGTAGGACCTGAAAAGTAGCAATGATTTATAGAATATTGTTCATAGAACTTTAAAATACTGAAACTAGACTGAATTAGACTGCTCGGATTGATTGAGACTGAAATTAGACTCCTTCCCAAAAAAGTGTGCCAAGAAAAAGGTACCGTAACGCTTTTGGCTTTGTCTGGGGCAAACCTATGCGCGTATAGATTACGGTAACTTGAGCGTATAGACTATAGTAACTTGAGCGTATGGATTACGGTAACTTGAGCGTATAGACTACGATAAATTGAGCCTATGGATTACGGTAACTTGAGCGTATGGATTACGGTAACTTGAGCGTATAGACTACGGTAACTTGAGCGTATGGATTACGGTAACTTTTCCCAACTATAGCCGGATTACAGTACCTTTTTCCAAAGGACACTGTTTAGAAAGCACTTCTCAAAGACAAGAGTGAAGAAATATCTTAGATCAAGGGTTTGAAAATACCTCCGGCAACTTGATGTCATATCTAAGCATCTCCTTTTTATCCTTAATCCACAAGAATGATAAAGGACGCTGAAAATTCTCAGTTTTCAACAAAAAAAAAGCTTTTCTTTTACCGGCGGAATCTCTGGTTGTTGATATTCAACAGTTTCCACCCAGTTAACCCTAAAATTTTCAATTAGTGGCCTTTTCATTCGCAAACTTTTCTTCCGCTTCTGGCTTTTTCCATTGAATTTTTGGAGTGGCTCTCTTCCACCATTCATCGTGTTTGACAAAAAATGATGATGGACCACCGTAGTCGAGTGGCAGCTAGGAAATGGATTAGGGAATGCATAAGAATACTTGATCCGTTTGAAAATTTGTTCTACAAGCTGCTTTTTCGTCTTTAGATTCTTTAGTTAAACTCCTTTGTAGTACAAAAAAACGTTTCAAAAATCGGCTAATAGCAAAATCTAAAAGTTAAGCCTGCAAAGACTGTCTAGAAACTTATCTATAGCTTAAAACTAACTGATTTTTAGATTCGTACTGAGGTGAATAGTTTTAGATCTCAATCTTACCGTCAAACTTCTAAGAAACACCACAGTTACGGCAGTTTTTGACTAACTTTAAAACAAGAAACACTTCTTTGGGTTTTGGCTTAGTTTATCTTGCTTCAGGAAGCAGGTGCAGACTTAGGCGCAGGCTTACGCGCAGGCTTACGCACAGGCTTACGCACAGGCTTACGCGCAGGCTTACGCGCAGGCTTACGCGCAGGCTTACGCGCAGGCTTACGCGCAGGCTTACGCGCAGGCTTACGCGCAGGCTTACGCGCAGGCTTACGCGCAGGCTTACGCGCAGGCTTGGACTTAGTGCGGAGGCTAGTGGCTAGCGCCTCGCACTAAGTCTATTTGGTTTAGGGCTCAATCCCCATTTTCAGGATCTCAGCCAGTTTAGGACTAGGCGTAGGCTTAGGCTTAGGCATTTCAACCTCTGACACCAACCTCTTCGTGCTCAACCGTGTGCACTCTGCCCACATCGACGTGATAACGAATGATGTCACGTCTCGAGCCTAAACTTCTCAACAATAAACACTGACCAAGCAACAAGAATAAAGTCTTAACAAATTTTCTTGATCAAATTGGCCCTATGGCCGACTGGCTAACATCTTATTTAGTCGTTAGTCGGGAGGTATCTTAGTCGGAAGGTAAAGGGTTCAATCCCGGCTAGATTATTGGTTCTTTTTCCATATAAATATGACTTTTTTCCTATATTTAGAGCTTAGTGGTGCTTGCGTATTGTTTGTACCACATTATTCGTGTGAATAAATGAATTAATGTCTTTTTAAAACCAACCCTTCGGGAAAACGGTTAAAAACGGTGAAACAAGACTGACGATCGGATGAGTTTTGTAGGAAACTCCCTAAAATTTTCAATTATTCTGAATTGATTAAAGGATTTCGAGTCGAACCGTGTACACTCCATTGCATCGAACATAAACGAGTTTTCTTGACTCCTCATCAACTTCGTAACAACGTTCCGGAGATTTTGGAGGCTAAAAATGAAAGCTAAGATGGTTTTGAACAAGAGAAATTTAAAAATCAAATTTTGATGACAATCTTGAATAATTTTTTGTATTCAATAAGGCAAATACTAAATTTTTAGTCAACAGTTAAGTTTTTGAAAGAATATTTGATATTACCCGAATGCAGACAGCATTTTGGATCAACGACGAGCAGCAAACGTTCGGGAAAAGATCTCGTACACCAACTGTTGACGTCTGAAAGTTTTCGGTTAAATTTCTCGTATTCTGTTTCGTTATTTTACTGTTTTTATCTATTTTTATCAAATCTGCAAATCAAATCAATAATGTTTTATTTATTTTGTTTGTTTTATTGTTTTATTTAAAAATTTCTTGGTTCTAACCTTTCCCTTGCAAACGAGTTGAAGAAGATCATCTCGCGCCGCTGTGAAAGATGGATCTCGATCAAGAGCTTCTTTCAATGAGGCGATTCCTAAGAAAACTTGATATTTATTTACCGTGTTTTTTTCTAATAGTAGTGCACGCGAGCGAGCCGAGTTGATGACTATTTTACGGCTTTCAAAGTTTTCACAAAAGCTAAACACTCAAATCCCCCACAAGATCTCATCGTCAGCTACATTTTCCGACTCCACATCGATATGTTCTGATAAGCGCTTTTCGAGATTTCGAGCAATTTAGGCAAGGCTCACGGTGCACTACTATTCAGAGAAAAGACGGTATTTGCCTATTGCAGCCTTTTGTGTCTCGTTTTTTTGCTCAAATCTTTAAATTTTGATTTTCTCTTCTTTAAAAAGTGTTCAATAAACGTTCTTTCAATTTTCAATTCATTTTCATTGACTCCTGCTTCACTTTTGAGCTTAAACTTCAAAAAGTTTTAAACCAAAGTATGCTTAAATCATTGATCGATCTTTCTAATTGATTGTTGTGAAGCGAAAAGAACATCAAAAAGCTGCAATAGGCTAATATCGTATTCTCTCTGATAGTAAAATAGTCACCAATTCTGGCCTAGCCGAGTTGGTGACTACATCAAGAGCTTTCTAAAGCAACCGCTCGAAAACATCAATGCTCTTTGCTCATAAATGCTCACAAAAAAATAGCTCTGAATTTCAGCTATTTTTTGATACCTAAGCGCACATTATAGCATAAACCAGTGCCAAAAAAACTCGTTCAAAGCTAGACTACGCAACGCTCCGCACCGTCATTATGCAGGTGGGGTACTATTACAGTATTTACGGTACTTCTTCGTGTTCACTCACCCTCATCCACTCGATAAGCAATCACATTGAAACGACCAAGCAAATAGTGATAGAGTGGCTAAAGAGTTAAAATTCATAATTTTCCTGTAGCTGAAACCTCATCAGCTCCAAAATCAGCCGCAATCTTCATGATGTCAATCGAAGCCTCAGCACTTCCAGTAACTCGCACCACGATTTGCGCCAATTGCGAGAAAGCGACGTCAGCGAATTTTGGCTAACATTTGAGAAGATGTTTTATTTATTTATTAATTATGGAAATCTAGATTTCTTGTTACTTTTACCAACCCCTTCCATCGCTGCAACGAGCACACAACGAGCTGCTTCTTGCGGTTTCCCGATAACTCGATAATAGAGAGCGGCCAAATTCAACGCAATCCATTTTGGGCCAATTTTCTGAAAGCACTATTATAAGCACTATTTTTGATAAGAAAGCTACTTTTTCAATAAGTGTTCGAATTCTTTGCGCAACGTCCATTAACTCCAAACGTTTATCAGCAAGACGGACAAAGATTGATCTAAAGTTTTCTTTTTTTTTTGAGTACTTTTTATTATTCTACCTCAACTCTGGCTCTGCATAGACAATCGGCTCATTCCAGGCTTCTATTAGAACTTTGAAGTCCTGGAAATTGATTTTATCATAAAAGAACTTTTTTGAGTACCCTGAGCATTAGTCCTTCATGGAATTGATAATCTCCACACTTGGGTTCATCCCATGGTAGTGGATGCTCTTCCGAGATCTCCAAACCGAGATATTTCGTCAAAAGATCAGCGACACTGAATTGATAATAGCAAAGTTGTTAAAGCTCTTCTGTATGAATTTCTTATTTTTCTGTATTGAAAACAATAAAGAAACTAATATTGGGTTAGTGATTTGAACTGAAGTTCAACTTGTAAAACTTAAATATTTTCCAGCAATCTATTCCGATTTTCTGAACAATTCAACGAAACTCTACAATGAAATTTTTACGACAAGAAATTACAACAAGAATCAATCGCCGATTCTCGAGAGAATGCCCGACAATTTTACAGGTTTTTTTGAATTCAAAAAGACTTAGTACTATTTAATTATTGGATTGGTGAATTCAATTTTTGATCACTTGTTTGGTTCATGTACACGTACTAAACAATGATTGCATTTTCTAGTATTGTTTTTAGTTTCAAGCCAGACTAGGCCATGAAACTATTGGATTGGTGAATTGAAAACTGCGGGACTTTGAACTAAAATTTATCCAACATAAAACCATCAATTCATTCCAAATAATTTCCATTATTATTGACGACTTCTGCTCATTTTACAGGCAATTTGCGGATTCCTCTTTCGTAGTAGGGTTTTGGTTTGTGTGTGAGACAAGTGTGAGACTCAAAAATGGAGGACTGGAGATGTCCCTGGAGGACGTTTGAGCACTTTCTTCAAAAGAAACCCATTTTGGTGTCAATAGAAAAGTTGTAGAGAATCAAAAATTAGGCTTATAGCCAAATTTCCAAAAAGACACACTTAGTAGTTTCGCTTAAAATGCAAGTTTTGTGAAAATTCGTAAATTTGGCATTTCTAGAAAACCAGTTTTTGAATCGTTCTGAAAATTTGGATATAAGCCTAATTTTTGATTCTCTACAACTTTTCCATTGACACCAAAATGGGTTTCTTTTGAAGAAAGTGCTCAAACTGTCGCATATGACAATAGCCGGCAGTTTTCAATTCATCAACCCAATAGCAAAGTTGTTAAAGATTTTCCGTAAGAGTTTCTTTGGGGATTTTCCAAACAAACTCACATAAATCCTTTGTTATCCGGTGAGATGAAATACGGTCGAATCGAGTTTTTGTGAAATAAATCCTCCTCAGCGATCATTCCCTTCGTGCAATCGTACGTATTCGGCCAATCGGCTCTTCTCCAATAGCGATCCATCGAGAGTTTTGTTAGAGTGCTTCTGGAAATAAAACGGTTTTAAGAAGAGCCTTAAAAATCACTTCTCAAGTGGATATTTCTTGCTCATCGGCGCCTCGTCGATTTCCATTCCGACGAATGGCGCTAAATTCTTGTCGAACGATCTCTCCCGTCGCCAAACCTCGGCCGTTTTCCACTCGGTGACATTCTGGAAGTTGATTTTTCTTTCTCTTGTTCATTCTAGTAACACCAGGATCTTCAATTACCAGAACCTATTGTTTTAAAAGACAAAAAGGGATACCAGAATCTTTAATTGAACTCTAGAATCAGGTCAGGCTGAGCTAGAGTCAAAGTCAGAGAGGCAACGTTAGCGTCAAGCCAGAACCATTCAGCTTATGCTCCAGATACTTTTTATAGGCTAATCTGCAGTAAAGCTAGGTGAAGTAAGGTCAGGAGTCAAGCTAGGACCTGATTTGGTAAATTTCTTTCTCCATTCACCTTCTTTTTATGTTTCTGATTCGTTTTCCCGTTTCGGAGCTCGGAGAAAGTCGAATCATAAGTGGATGGATCGGTGATTCGACAGTGGATTTCCTCCAATTTTCTCTTCCCAATCACTCTCGTTGTGCATTTGCGCACTAAATTTGTCTATGTATGCGCTTAAACTATTTTCACTTACACTTTGATACACCGAACTTTGCTTGATCATAGCGAAGGTAGTGTTGAAGGAGTTTTTCATCAGAGGTCACGTGTTTTCGCACCTAAAGTCAACAAATCTATGAGCAGCAGAGCGTTGATTTTCTACTACTTGGTGCTGAGCCTAAGCTCAAAGCCTAAGCTCAAAGTCTAAGCTCAAAGCCTAAGCTCAAAGTCTAAGCTCAAAGCCTAAGCTCAAAGTCTAAGCTCAAAGCCTAAGCTCAAAGTCTAAGCTCAAAGTCTAAGCTCAAAGTCTAAGCTCAAAGCCTAAGCTCAAAGTCTAAGCTCAAAACCGAAGCTCAAAGTCTAAGCTCAAAGCCTAAGCTCAAAGTCTAAGCTCAAAGTCTAAGCACAAAGCCTAAGCTCAAAGTCTAAGTTCAAAGTCTAAGCTCAAAGTCTAAGCTCAAAGTCTAAGCTCAAAGCCTAAGCTCAAATAACCAAACAATTATGGCTTCATAGTCTCACCTCTTTTTCCAAGCGATCCACTTTCTCAACCAAATCATTGTAGGCGTGTTTGTTGTCGATGATTGATCGAATATTACTCTAGAAGCGAATTGTTGAAGTCAGCTTAGCAATTCTACCTCTTGATGTTGGAGTTCATCTTGAATTGTCTGTGTGCAGATGAGGGTTCCTTGTTTCTTCGCCCATATTTCGGGGTCAATGTTTTGGAGTTGGGCCGTCTAAAGAGAGTTATGTTTTACACGAATTCAGTGTCAATTAGTGATAATTTGTTTTCAAAAAACTTCTACAACTGTTACTACAGTTGTTTTCTTATTAGAATTGACATTTTCATTTTTGAAACAAAGCCAAATGTCGAATGATTTGTCGAAAATGACGATTTGATTTTGTTCCGAATGATTTTGACAAACAGCTCACGAATTTTAAGCATTTATTTGTATTTATAAATCTTAAAATAAAACAAAATGAGTACCTGAGCTTTTTCCAGTGCTTTTCCATAAGATTTCACAGCCATCGAAAGATTTGCGCTGATTGCATACGCGTCACCGAGGACTCCGAAAGCGATCGTTGACAGAGAGTGATGATCAGCGCCCATCGCTTGCGCATCGTGTGCAGCTAGCTAAAAGCTCGTGAAGTTAGCTTTAGATCTTGTTAGACATTTAGTAAAATGGCTTAGCTTAGTAAAATCACGAACATCTAGCAGAATAACCGCTTCCTCGTCCCGTTTCGCCATTAACATCAAATTGCCGAGGGTGAGCACTGCGTAGGGTTCGAGCTCGGATTTGCTGAAATTAGAAATAGATTAGAAATAGCTTAGAAATCGAGATCTTTATCGGTTCTAGATTAGAATCTTTGCTCAGAATATAGCTATAAACAAATTTGTAGAATTAAAACTTACAAATTGGCGGCAGCTTGCAAAGCAGCTCTCGCACATTGATACGCTTCAGACGCCTCGCCAACGATTCTCCAATAGCAGGCGGCACTCAAATACACATAAGGAGATTGGGAAATCTTCTGAAATTTCTGAGATACTGTAGATAAATTTAGATAACTCACCGTATCGACGTCAGTTAACAAAGCGACTAGATATCTGCCCATTGCGTCAACTCGAGTCTCACCGGGTAACTAGAAAAATTTAATTAAGAAAAAGAAGGCTTTACTTTTTGAAAAGTTAGAAAAATTGACTCATAGATCCTTTCTAATCTTTTTAATCGAATCGTAGATCCTTTCTAATCTTTTTAATCGAATCGTAGATCCTTTCTAGTCTTTTTAATCGAATCGTAGATCCTTTCCAATCTTTTTAATCGAATCGTAGATCCTTTCTAATCTTTTTAATCGAATCGTAGATCCTTTTTAATTGAATCATAAATCCTTTGAAGTAAACCTTAGGTAAATGGATGAATTGATTTTAAAACAGCCCTACTTTACCTTCTAGTTTTACATTTATATATCTTTTCTGGAATTTTTAAACCCAACCAATGAAATCCCTTCCCAAAGCGGAGCGCAAATCGACACCAATTCCGGAGCATGATCGATTATTAGTTCATCAAAGTTTTTGAAGCCCTAAATTACAAAAATCTTTGCTTTTCAAAGATTGTACTAACTGAAATGAATATAAATTCTTATTTTTACCGGCATTGCATCAAGATAATCGTAGAGAATCGAGATTTTCTCGGCTTTACAATAAGGTAACTCTTGCGTTGGCGGGACTTTTCGTTGCAACATCGCGTCGTTCATAATCTCTCTGAAAAAAAATCGTCTAGAAATTGTTCTAATCTGATCTAAATCTAGATCTAAATCTAGAAATATTGTAAATTCTCAAAATCGGTTTATTTTTTTGATTTTTGTAACTTACAAAACAAACTTACAACTTTGCCTGTGCCACGTATTCTTTTGTTTGCTCAACGGCGTAATTCGTCAAGAAGCTTTGCATTTTGAGCGGTATTTCCTTACCCTAAAGAATTTGTGTATATAGAAAAGAACCGAAGATGAATGATGGAGTAATTTTTCTTTATATTTAACCAATCAAACCTTTTGACAGTGTGGATTGTTTTCGCGCAACTTTTGCTCTAAATCTGGATCGTCGATTCGTTCGCCCATTTGAATGCGTTCCTAAAAAATGATTGACTAAAGAAAGCAGAGACTCTACAAAACTGAAATTTTTGTACAATTTGTACAGGTTTATCGGATGTTCTAGCCGATTTCAAGGACAGTCAGAAGCCTACGACTACGACTTTTTTGTCAATAAAGCCAATCAAAGTCCGATCTTGATCTGGTTTTGCCTAGATTGAAATGGTTTAGAAAACCCTAGAAGTTAGGTTAGATTAATCTAGAAAAAGATTAGATTAGATTTAGCAAATTTAGATTAGATTAGCTTAACTAATTTCTTCGTACCATTTTCTCGTTCAACTCCGTCACCGCGGCCGTCCACTCTTCGACCAATTTCACCTGATTGACGAACTCGATGAGGTGTTGCGGGCGCGCCATCATGAAAGGTGAATATGGCTAAAATAAGAGGCTTTATTAAGCGTATTATTAGGTTTTTAGAAAGCAAATTTGTTAGAGAAATTCTTGGCTATAAGTCTTTGCTTGGGAAAGCAGCCGACTTGAAGTGGTCATTTCCATTCACAATCCTCTGTGTTTTGCTCAAGTTTGGCTCATTCTTTGCGTATTTTACTGATATATCTTTGATTTTATTAGACTTAAAAGTGCTTATTGTTATATTTCTTAAAAACAACCGACCACTGGCTTCATGTACCGTCCATCTTCGCTGATTTTCCAGTGATTAATCGACAGAATATATGGGATTAATAGACATATAAAGATGAAAAAGAAGAATTTCATGTAATTTGAAAGAAAATTGAAACCTTTTGGAAACCTTTTAGCTTGATGGTTATAAGAAATTAAGTGGCAAAACTGGTTTCAGTGGCTACGCGGCGATACAAATGACAGAATGTCGTGAAAAAAGGAGAAAAGAGGGAAAAGGGGAATGAAATCTGGGACAAGGACACTTTTTGTGACTCGCTTTTTTTTACAATTGGCTTGAAAGAGCTAGGAAAAAGGGTTGATGAGTGGAAAATGAACGGAAATAGACGTAAAATGAAATCTGTTCAACTAGCCAAAAATGGGTAAGATTTAAAGAAAAGATTAGATTAGATTTAGCAAATTTAGATTAGATTAGCTTAACTAATTTCTTCGTACCATTTTCTCGTTCAACTCCGTCACCGCGGCCGTCCACTCTTCGACCAATTTCACCTGATTGACGAACTCGATGTGGTGTTGCGGGCGCGCCATCATGAAAGGTGAATATGGCTAAAATAAGAGGCTTTATTAAATGTATTATTAGGTTTTTAGATAGCGTAAAATGAAATCTGTTGAACTAGCCAAAAATGGGTAAGATTTAAAGAAAGAGTTGAAAGTTAAAAATAATACGCTAAAAAGTTTAATCTTTATCGTTAGAAAAGATTAGAAAAGATTTCTACATAATATAATATATAATACATTGTATATTATAATATAATATAATATAATATAATATAGTATAATATAATAGAAAACATTTAGAATACATTGGAGCCAAATAGAAGGAACCAAATGAGGCAAATCTGAGCCTCGTTGACGCAGAAATTTTCAGACTTCTGTAAAATCGATAAACGATTACTGAAAACGATTCGATCTTGTGTGTATTTCGAAGAAAATCTTCAGTTCTTGCTTTTAATTGTTTCTGAAGAAATGCTGAAGATTAGAAATCGGCTAAAAAGATTCTTTTTTTTTTTTGACCATAACATTCCACCACTTTTTCCTGCCGATTCGCCGAATGTCGAGCACATCCATGGCGATTTGGATGATCACTTGCACGAGTACCAACACTTCAGCGCCAAGACGAATCTTGAAAAAAACTTTGTTTAAGGTTTAGAAGTATTTTTGATCAACGATCTCAATCCAATCGAGCTCTAGGGCCTTTTATCTATAATATTGGGTTGTCCAGTTATGAATGCGCGCTTCTACTATTTTGTAAATTTCTCAAGATATCGAACAGATGTATATGAGTGTTATATATCATTCGAAAGCTGAAGATCTCCTCTACATTTTGGAATAAAAAAGTTTTTCAATTCATCCAACTTTTTGGGAAATTGACTGCACAAAGGGAGAAATCGTTTTCGAAAAAACCCCATTCCAGCTTAGCTATTCCTCAAGTTTTATGGTGTAAAATAGCCACTCAGAAAAGAAAAGAAAAGTAAAGATGCTCTGAAATTGTTAGATTTTAAAAAAAGTTGTATTGATATATCTATTGGCCAAACATCAAACGGTTAACTCAATTTGAGCGCAGCCAAAACTTGATCCAAAGGCACCCTTCCATTTTTTGGCCACCTCTTCTTCTGTGCAGTCAATTTGCCCAAAAGCTGAACAAATTCAAAAACTTTTATATCAAAATGTAGAGGAGATCTTCAGCTTTCGAATAATACTCATACCGTATTTACTCTATTAAAAGCCCCGGGGCGTTTATTTTTTCGATACCCCTCAAGGGGGGGCGTTTATTAGAGGGGGGCGTTTATTGGAGGGGGGCTTTTATTTTTCGATAGCCCTCTGCAGGCGTACTTAGACACATAATTGACGTTGATTCAACGATAAAAAAAATAGTAGTGCAAATAAAGCATTCGAGATCATAAGTCACTTTTATCGAATTATTTATTTATTTCAACAACAAAAATTAACAGAAACTAAGAATGTAAGAAAAACAGCATTTCAAGCAATTGATGTATCAGAATCGTATTCAGCCTCTTGTCTAGGCTCACGAAAATTTGCTGATTCGATGCTTGGGACTAAAATTTTATCGATTTCCTTATCCAATCGGGCACTCTGAATTGCTTTAAATCCGGAAGGTATCGGGCCATCTGAGCGGAAGCAGTGAATAAGATGATCTTCTTTTCCATCCTGATCAATTCCTACTCCGCAGATTTTAAATGACTCGGCAATCATTTCTGAAGATAGTTTTTCCCAAGACGAAGCAATCCATTCCAGATAAACATCCATTGCAGGAGGTTTGGGGTTACCACCACCAGATCCATCAGCTTTCGATTTCGTCAATTCGGGTGCCGTTGATAGGATCCAATCTTCATATTGATGTCGAATATATTTTTTAAAGGGAGCATTCCAGGAAACATCTGCACATTGAACAAATTTAGTCGTGCCTCCAGGTACAAAAAAAGCAGTCTAGCTTTAGTTTTGTCAAAGATTTCATCGTTGATTCGCTTCGATGGGCCGTGTGTTGATCCCATACTAGGAAAGAGCGTTCCTTTTTGTCAAAGAACCCAATCCCCCGAAAGGTCCTTTCCAAATAATCAGTTGTGATTGAGTTATCGAAGCATTTTTGCTCTTTACCACTCCAATAAAGGATTAATCGTTTGCGAAACTTTTCTTCAACTTTCTTATCCATTCTTTTTCGTGGTAACACAACAAACGGTTTCATCTTAAAGCCATCAGCTCTGGCAGTAAGCATCACCGTAACGTTGAGTTTTTCGTAACCTCTTGTGAGCACTTCAACTTCTTTCGCTCCGATCGAATCAATGCACTTGTTCGATGAGTGATCGAGCCAGACAGCAGTCTCGTCGGCCGCAAACACATATTTGTAGTTGTTTTCAGCCAATTTTTGTCCAAGATTGAGGAAATAATTGACGAGGACCTTCTCAAAATCTGCCGGTAGCTTCTGGGTGGTCGTTGTAGGAATGCGAAGCGAAAAATTGTGCCGATCCAAGAACTTCTCCATCCAGCCGTTGCTTCCAATGAAAGGTACACCGACTTCCTTAAAACGTTTAGCGGCTTCGTTGAAGAGTATCCGACGAGTGACCCTCTTTTTTTCAGCCCGTTGTTTCCGCACCCAAATTGCCAAAGCTTCGTCGACATCAGCCGAATTCAGGTGGCGGCCTCCTCCATCCAATCGTTTCCTTTTCCCATGAAGCTCTTCCAGCTCTTCTTTCTTTTTCAGGCATCGCTTGACCACTTTGCGATCGATGCAGTAGAATTTCGCCGCCGAGTGAATGGAAACATCTCTCGCCATCTTAGCAACCTCGAGTTTCGTCTTCGCGTCCAATGTTCTTCTCGGTCGTTTTCCAATCGTTGTTTCGTTGTGGATTGGATTGTCGTCGGCGGGGTCGTTCAAACTTTCACGTGAATCGGATCGTTTGTCGAAATGTTCCCGACCCGCTTCGCAGAATCCTTCCATTTCATCTTCATGAAGATTTCGAAAATCGGCGAGTACATCCATGAAGTCCAACTAAAAAAAATTATTTCAACAATTTATACTTTTGAAGTACCGCCCCCAAGTGTCCCCAAAAAGTTTCTCCAAACTGTCCCCAAAGAGAAAATCTAATATGGAGAGTTTAAACAATTTCGTCTGTAACAGAATTTTAAAAAAGCTCTAGAGAAAAAAAGAAAACGAAGCATTTCAGTATCAAAAAGAGTTCCCATATGGGGACACTTTGGGGAAACTTTTTGGGGACACTTGGGGGCGGTACTTCAAAAGTATACGGCAAATCAACAAAACGTAAAAATGATTACTTAGAAAGTTTAAAAGAAAAACCAAAAAATTATCAAAAAAAAGTCGCTATTGCTATGTAGTTTGTAAATTTTCGTACTTGGGGGGGGGCGTTTATTGGAGGGTGGGCGTTTATTTTTTCGATACCCCTCTAGGGGGGGCGTTTATTAGAGGGGGGGCTTTTATTAGAGGGGGGCTTTTATTAGAGTAAATACGGTATATATCTTTTTCTTGATTTCGGTATCTTGAGAAATTTACAAAATAGTAAAAAACGCGCATTCATAACTGGACAACCCAATATAAAACATTTAGAATACATTGGAGCCAAATAGAAGGAACCAAATGAGGCAAATCTGAGGCAATTCGTTGACGCAGAAATTTTTAGACTTCTGTAATTTTCAGACTTCAGACTTCTGTTTCAGACTTCTGATATAAGTTTACTGAAAACGATTCGATCTTGTGTGTATTTCGAAGAAAACCTTCAGTTCTTTTGATTCTTTCTGAATTCTTTCTTTTAATTGTTTCTGAAGAAATGCTGGAGATTAGAGATCGGCTAAAAAGATTCATTTCTCGAAATCATGCAAAAAAACACAAATCAAAAACAAAAATCAATCAAGTGGCAAAACTTTTCCGACGACTTTTCTCCAAATTGCTTTCACCACCTGAAAATTAACCTTCCAACCTTTTTCCGAGAAAATCCTTCGTTGGCGCTTTAAAGCGTGATAAAACTACCGTACCCTTCCTGATTTGCGCCAAATTTTTTTTCTTCATTCTTTTTCATTTCATTTTATTCTTTTTGCTTTTTTTTCAGCGTTTCAACGTTTTTCAACGTTTTTTCAACTAAAAAGTCACAAAAGCAAAGCTTTCGTCATAGAAAATGATAAAAACCACTTGACTAATACACTCTGTCAAAATATTATAGACGCACCCTGTTTTTTTGCTAGTTTAGAGCCGGATATAAAAAACTAACAATTATCGATAGAATAAATCATCAAATAAAACTGTTAAAACGTTTTTTGTACGATAAAGTACTTTGGATGAGTGAAATGACTTGAAATTTTGCATGAGTTGTTTTTTTACAATAAAGAAACCAAAAAAAATACTTTTCACTGGACTAGCATTTATGTCTGGCTCTAAACTAGCAAAAAACAGGGTGCGTCTATAATTTTTTGACAGAGTGTATTAGTCGGCAAGTTCATGGAGTAGATCGTCGGGAGCAAGTGAGTCTAAAAAAAACTCTACGAGCAAAGCCGCAAAAAATGCTGTTAAAAACGTAACTTAGCTTCATCTTCTTTGTTTCTCGCAAAAATAAACGCGAGTACATCAGAAAAATGCAAAAAGAATAAAATGAAATGAACTAGAAAGAAAAAAAATGAAATTTCGCGTAAACTAGGAGGAGTACGGTAGTTTTACCACGCAAATCCAGGATTCCTTCGGAAAATGGTCGCAAGTGAAAATTGAATCTACTTAAATTTAAAATCGAATTTGAAAGCTTGAATCTACTTTGAAAGATCCTCAAAATTGAAAGATCCTTTACCTAAGTATCGTCGAGTGACCGGTCTTCCGGCAGCGCCTTCTCTTTCGATTTCCTGAAAAAGGAATTGATTATAGATTGTTTTTTCTTTTTCTAGTGCTTTGCAGGGACTGTTAAATACCGTAAATAAAAGGAAATCTTCAGTTCTTTCTTCAGCAGACTGTTACATACTCTAATAGAAGCCTCTATAGAAGCGTCGTGTAGTCTAAGTTTCCTCTCAAACAAACGCTCATATCTTGACACCAGTACGCTTTTTTCTACGCGTTTAGGTATCAAATTAAAGTAGAGATGATGGGTAATATTTTGAAATATAACACATATTTTTAACATTAATCAGCGCTTGGAAAAAAATGATTGAAAAGTAGCAAAAAAGAGCCGATTTTTGCCAGTTTTCAATAATTTTTTCTAAGCGCTGGTTAAATTTAAAAATCGGTGTTATATCTTAAAAAATTCTTCTATTCTTCTACTTTAATTTGATATCTAAGTGTGCAGAAACAAATGCCTGGACGCCAAGATATGAGCGATTGTTTGAGAGTCAACTTAGACGAAGTGACGCTTCTATAGGGGCTTTTGATTAGAGTATTTACGGCAGACATTTCGAATTTTGGTAAAAGTGATTTTGTGTCTTTTTAGTGCCGGTGAATTCTTTCTTTGTGCTTTTATTCTTAACCAAGAGCTTTTAGTCGATTTCATGCCCATCATGCCGAGATTGAGCGACATTTGTGTGGCGAGGACCCCACGAGACCAGCGTCTCTTTGAGGCCGCTGCCACTTCGAGATCCTGAGAAAAATAGGATAAAGTTTTGCCTAATCTTTACAGATCTTCGACTTAAGCAGCTCAGAATCTTTTTCTGACTTTAACAATACCCTTTGCTTTTTCCGAATCAACGCCATTTTCTCCTCGTGCATCCGCTCGCGTTTCTCTTGCCGGACTTGGCGAGCCACCTCGTCATCGTCATCCTGAAGATTTAGAAATTTAAACAATTACGCAAATGACTCACATTCTTTTTGATGACGACAAAAGCTCGGATATCCTTTTGTGTGCCTCGTGGCCGGGAGTACTGTTGCATATGGTGAAGGCGTTTCTTTGGAGCGACCGACAACTCTAACATCAGGATCACTTGGGCCCACTGTAAGTGTAGAAGTTGAATATTGATTTTAAAATATTAGATTTTAATAGTATTTCCATCTCAGCACCTGTCTTTTCCACTCCTTTGACGTTTGGAAAATCTCCTCGTACGTCCGAGTCATCATAGCGATGAGGAGATTGAATTGCAGAATCGAGACGCCCAGTTCGAAGATGATGAAGCAAATCTGGAAAGCTCTTCAATGAGAATGTAAATATTTGGTTTCACTTTTCCAATCGTTGACAACAACAACGAGTTGCAAGCGGCCAGCTCACGGTACAGGGACATGAACTCTCCTAAAAGGGAATATAAGGTGAAACCAAAAAACCAACAATCGCTTAAATCGCTTACCAATTGTCATGATGAATGTTCGAATCAAAGCTTCTTGCGGATTCGGGAGTAGATTCTGAAATCATTTGATGAGATTGATTGATGAGATTGATTGATGAGATGTGTTTCAAGCAAGTGTGTAGCTGGACAAAGTAATCAGATTCGTTTGTCTTAGCCATGTCAAACTTGGTGTTTTCTGGCTCTAATCTAGCCTGTGCAGAAATATCCTTTCTGTTATCCGTTCTTTTCTTGTCACTTTCAAACAGCCGTCATTCACGGATTTTACATTTGAATCTCTTTATTTTATGTCTATGATCTCCTTTTCTCCCAGCTAGAAAAGATTTTCCGAGAGATAAGCGCTTTCCATATTTCTAACTACTGTCAGTTCCGAGCCAAACTGATATTTTAGTTACTATTGTTATTATTGAATGATTTGTCTATTCTTATGCAAATGTGTCCTCCCCTGTGCTTATCCCTTTTATTGCCGAGAAGGGGCAGTCCTTGGGATTACTTGGCCTGGCCTAGGAGGCCAAGTGAGACTCTCATTTGGAGTCCCCCCTTCCCCTTACACTTATTTGTAATCTATTCGTCTTATTATACTACTGTAAATAAAGATACATATCTTCCGGGTCTATGTAACTGCAGTACAGGTCGGTCATTTCACAGGGACTCCCCTCTAATACGTTGAAGGAGTTGATTTGGGTTGTCGGGGTGTTAGAGATGGCCAGATATCAAAAGGGATCCACTCTCTTTAACTTAACCCAAATTCTAGTCCACATCCGTTTATACCTAGGAACGAATACTACCAAAACATTTATCATATATTGAATAAAGCTCTTTATAACAATATTGCTATTTTCTTTCATGTTGCGCAGTCCGGGAATCGAACCCGGATCGCCCGCAGGCGAAGATTCTACCACTAAAACAACTGCGCAGTGAGTGCCTGTCCTAGTCAAACATATACCTTATCTTTGTTAGTTCTTTTGGATGGGGTTTTTCTGGCTCTGGTCTAGCCTGGTATAAGTAGTTGGGCATAATAACTAGCCTGATACACCCCATACATTTGTCTTGCTTGTCTTGCATGACTTGACATTCATCTGATTTACAATTAGTCCATCACTAAGACATCACTAAGACTTGACATTCATCTGACTTACAATTAGTCTATCACAACCAACCTGAAAAGAATCTCCATCATCATCAGCTCTCAATGTAGCCGTCACATTCGAATTTTCGTATTCAGCTCGTTCACAAGCGGTGAAAATTAGATAAAAAGCTAAAGTTATTGATTTGAAAAGTGGTTTTTGGGTATTTGTTCAAACATTGCGAGAATCCGATGAGAAAAATAAGATAGATAGCGATGAAACGCGAGAGATCCGAGGCAATAATTGTGTAGATCATCAACACAAATGGACCGACGAATTTGACGGCTCTGAAAAGAGTTTAAGCGAACGTTTAGCTATGGAAATGGAAATCTAAAGATAAATGACTATTTTAAGCCTTTTACCTGCTGTAATAAAGAAAATGAATGGTGGTCATTGGTACGAGAATCGTCGAGATGACATTGTCGAGAATGACGAATGTCATCGAGAGATGACAAGCCGCTCTCAATGGCACGATAAAGAAAATTCCAAAGAAAGTCATCTTCCAGATGAGTTTCGCTGGAAAAGCAACCTTAAGAGCTTTTTTGGATGTGTAAAAAAAACTTTTTTCACCATAACATTCCACCACTTTTTCCTGCCGATTCGCCGAATGTCGAGCACATCCATGGCGATTTGGATGATCACTTGCACGAGTACCAACACTTCAGCGCCAAGACGAATCTTGAAAAAAACTTTGTTTAAGGTTTAGAAGTATTTTTGATCAACGATCTCAGTCCAAACGAGCTCTAGGGCCTTTTATCTAGGCTACACAAGGCAAAACAAAAACCAAAGCCGGCTTCTGGCGGTTCGAAACTTTGCTGGTCTTTAGTAAAGCTGTCCGTGTCTGGTTTCTGGGTTGAAAGATCGGTCAACTAGTAAAATTTATGCTCAGTTACCTTTCAATTTCTCTAAAAAACTACTAAGGTGTACGTGTAATTTTTTCGAGAAATTGCGCTTCACTTTTTTTTGGTTTACTTCCTGCTTTTGGTTTTTTTAGGCTTTAGATAGATTTACGCGTTTATCGAATAGCTTTTTAACAGCTTGTGGACGATTTTAATCTTTTTTTTTCGGTTGGTTTTAATGATAATGCTTAGATCTAGCGCTTAAACATAGTAGGCGTACAAATCAGCAAGTAAATGGAGCGCAACTTCTCGAAAAAAACACACACATATGTACACCTTATGGTCAGATTTCGTCATAGCTTTGATAGCTTATAGCTTTGATAGCTTATAGCTTTGATAGCTTATAGCTTTGATAGCTTATAGCTTTGATGCGGTCAGATTTCGCAAGCACGAATCCGAATCAAAGCTAGATGACTTACGCAAGTTGGGCAATGCAAAAAAAATGATTCAAAGGGGATCGAACTCGGATGGACAGTGACACTACCATTTCACCATCTAGTCACTTCTTTGACAAGCGACTGTGGTCCTTACAAACTCATAAGTCGCTCAGTGCATAAAGGCGTCAAATTTCAAATTTGTTTTGCAATCAAATCCATTTCAAGTTTAGAGCGTTTAGGGTTTAGGGAAAACTAAAAACATCGTGTTGCTCGTGTCAGACTTGCGTCATAGCTTTGATAGTCATAGCTTTGATAGTTTATAGCTTTGGTTCGAGTTCACCGAAAACTGACCACTTCCTAGTTTGTAATTTTTTCGAAAAAGTGAAAGGCACCTGAGCATGGACTTTCTCGACATGAAAAAAAAGCATGAAGCATGAATTTTACTAGTTGGCTTAATCTAGCTTAGCTCTATCTTGCCTTTAAAGGACCTAGCCAAAAGGAATGACTTCGGGAAGCCATTCCGCATTAATACCTGCCAGCTATGGCAGCTATGGCTTGTCAAATAGAAGCTAGAGGCCGATCAACGTAGATAGAATTATCAATTCAACTCACCCATCCCTGCGTCAACGGCAGCTCGGCGTAATTAATGAGATGACATCTGGCTTTCAGCTCATCTGAAAGTCGTTTCCAAAAAGAAGACTTTAGAAAGTTCAAACCATAATGCAAATTCGTGTACTGATAGTAGTTGAGCCGGGTTAGATCATCGGTTGACACAAGCGTCCGATTGTAATCGATCTGAGCTATTGTTATTGTTTTTACGGAAATCTAAACTTTACCTTATATTTCATATCGCTGAATTTCAATGGTTCTCCGTGTTGATTGACCATTCCGTTTGTGGAAATCTGAAATGATTAACGGTCGATCAATAATCAAAATGATCCAGAGTTGATCAATAGTTGATCAACAATCAATGATCACCCATTGAACCTGGAATCTATTGGGTTGAACCGAATGAAAACATCGCATAGTCTTTTGTCGGTAAATGTTGATTGCTATTTAATCAATATAATTTTGTTATCTGTTTCCTTGGTTCTCTATTGTTAACTCCAACAGTTTTTGATCAACAATCAAAATGATCCAGGGTTGATCAACAGCTGATCAACAGATGATCAACAGCTGATCAACAACTGATCAACAGCTGATCAACAGCAGATCAACAGTTGGTCAACAGTTGGTCAACAGCTGATCAACAGCTGATCAACAGCTGATCAACAGCAGATCAACAGTTTTTTTGATTCAACTATTGAGAAAACCTGTGTCGTGTACGAGAATGGTCGATTCATGTAGGCCATAAAGAAACAGATATAGTAAAAAGAAAATGAAGCTAAAGAGCGATACCAACTGAAAAATGGGATAAATAAAATCGCACATCTCAGTAAATACCTAGTCTTTGCATAAGCATCCCATTTAGCTTGCAAAATGTTTTCCAAAAGACCATCGAGAAGCTCGAGATGCTCTGCCGTTTCCTAAACATTTTTGGTACAAGATTCAAATGTAGATTTGCAAAATGTAGATTTTCAAAATGTAGATTTTCAAAATGGAGATTCTTCTCTGTTTTGATTTCCTGATTTCCCTTACCCCATACACAACCAAAGACAAAGCCGATTGCTCATTCATTTCCCCATTCTTCTCATTGATCGTGTCAATATCGGCTAGTGGGTAAGCGGTCTGAAAATTTCAGTTCTTGATTAGATAAATGAAAGAACTTGTGACGCTTCTCCATAAGCCCAGACGACATCAGACTCGAGATCGAGGAGTTCAATGAAAATCTGAGAATATTAGAAATTGGAAATCAGATACCTTTTTCGAGATACCTTTTTCTTTGCCAACTTTGCGGCTAGAGTCAACGGGGTGAGGCCTTGCTTGTTCGTGATTCGAAGACTGGCGCCCGTCTGAACGGCGAGTCGAAGCATATCCTTGAAATTAGATTAGTAAAAGAATGAAAAATTTCTGCAACATTAGTATGATAAAATGTTAAAGAGCTATCAAAAACATTCATGGATTTGGTCTACTAGCCGACCTACTAGCCTACTAGCCTACTAGCCGACCTACGAGCCCACAGGAGTTTAGTTTTGGTCGTTCTGGATCTTTGGATTCGATCTTCAGAGCATTTGGATCTTCAAAATTTATCTTCAAACCTGGTCTGGACATAAATCTGGTCGATTTAGTTACCCAGTTGGTTCAATAAAGCTCAAAAACAAGACTAAAGTCGAGTCTGAAGCTAGGCTTGGCTCTGGGAAGCTTGGCTTAGCTCGTAAAAAGCTTAAAGTTACCTATTTTTAGTCAAATTTGCTTCAAAGTCGAACCTAATCTCATTGTTACAATAAAATAATCGTTCTAATTTTTTCGAAATATTCATAAATTAAGCTCATTGTTTACTTTGTTGCAAAGCTCATTGCTTACTTTGTTGCAAAGGGTAACACTTACCATATTCTCATGAATGACGCACATGTGAAGAACGGTGTTCCCATTTGTGTCTTGCGCATTTGGATTCGCCTAGAATTTGAATTTATACACTACTGGACAATGAAATATCATATTTGAAAAAAGACCGTCACTTTCGCGCGTCTGTAACTCCATTGTCTTTACAGTATTTCTAAATATCAATATTACCATTGTGTAGCCCTTGAAAAGAGCTTTCAGAAAATGTATAACACTAATTGTTTAAACTCAAAGACAAGGGAGTTACAGACGCGCGAAAGTGACGATCGTTTTTTGAAATATGAGATTTCATTGTCCAGTACTGTACGTAAATTGTTAGTTAGATTGTTATCAAACATAAAAAGCTTGCAACAGAGCAAGTAGAGCTTTCGAGAAGCTATAACCGTTAGATATTTCGATCAATCAATTTCTCTTCAATATCAATCCACATTCTTTCAGCCCAGGCGATGGCCCAATCCCACCAGCTCCCCTTCAACCAAATGCCGCTGGATTGGTATCCCCGATTATTTCTATTCGTTACGACGATCGTTTTTCAAATATGATATTTCATTGTCCAGTACTGTAGGTTTTTTTCATTGTTTAATTGTTTGCGTTCAATTTACAAGTTCTGTTTAACTGTTCTGTTTAACTGTTCTGTTTAACTGTTCTGCTTAACTGTTCTGTTTAACTGTTCTGCTTAACTGTTCTGTTTAACTGTTCTGTTTAACTGTTCGGTTTAACTGTTCTGTTTAACTGTTCTGTTTAACTGTTCTGTTTAACTGTTCTGCTTAACTGTTCTGTTTAACTGTTCTGCTTAACTGTTCGGTTTAACTGTTCTGTTTAACTGTTCTGTTTAACTGTTCTGTTTAAAAGTTGATTAATTGCTTGGTTGATTGGGTGAGATTTTTAATTGATTTCCCCTGCTCACTTTTTTCACAAGCAACAATCGATAACATTCTGGTTGATTCATACAAGCGGCGAAGTGAAGCGGGTACTCACCAAAGTACATTCGGCTGAAAATTTCAGTCTTTTTTTCGATAAAAATAAAGAGATTCAAAAATCCGATGATATTCTATGAAAATATACAATTTCTAATTAAATTAAGCAATTTAAACCCAGTGTAATTTGTCTTTGGACTCAAATCGACCGCCTCGTGTTCCATCGAATCGGTTCTGCTCGTCTTTTGGTCTTCAGTGCAAAAGAATGCGCCAAAGCATCTGAAATTACGGTAAATATTTGAAAATCGATCTAGAATCTGTACTTTTCATCTAGAATCTGTACATTTTCACAAACCTTTTGCTCACATCAGCTCCCCTTCGCAACAAGACGCTCACCATGTACGGATCCTCATTGACAATCGCTTGATGAAGTGGGGATAGACCTAAAGAAATCAAAAGTCAAAAGAAATCAAAATAAGTTGATAATCTTACCGTAGTAATCCTCGCTGACATTGAAATCGTTGACGAGTTTTGGGAAATTGTCCAATAGCTTCAGTGCCAACATGTTGTGAATAGAGGTGCCTTGAAGGAGGCAAACGCCCAACAGCGTTTCACCCATTGAACCTGGAATCTATTAGATTGAACCAAAGAAACCGCAGCATAATTTTTTGTCGTTAAATGTTGATTGCTCGCTATTTAATCAATATAATCTGTTTCCTTGGTTCTCCTTTTTACTTCTTACCTTGCTAATTTTAACTTTTTAGAATGAACGATTTTGAAGTATTGAATTAAAGCAAGGAAGAACGATAACCGATTGCCGTAAAGTTATTGCAAGTGTATTTGACCAATCAGCAATCTCCAAAAGAACAATGCCAAGCTTGGTTCCAACAAAGGGGACGAGGCTCAGGATCAGGAAGTTCAGGATCAAACACCGGTAAACGATGACTCCACCACCGGTAAACGAGGATTTGGAGTTGCGCAAAAGTTTTGAGAAAAACCCATGCGTTTCTACTTGTTTGATGCTGGTCAAACAACCATTTTGAATCATTTGCACTTAATTGGAAAGAAAATCCACGCCAGAAAATGGATTCCATATCATTTGAGTAATGTAAAAAAGGCAATCAGAGTTGGTTGTAGGTTGGAATACTCCTTCAAAAATCAAAGAACAGCGGGTTGTGGGATTCATTCTTTTTCGACGAACATTTAGAAAACGGCGGTTTCATTCAGTTTAACCTAATAGTTAGCCATCTAGGAACCGATTTTTAAGAAGTCCTGAAGCCCAGTCCTGAAGCCCAGTCCTGAAGCCCAGTCCTGAAACCCAGTCCTGAAACCCAGTCCTGAAGCCCAGTCCTGCGACCCAGTCCTGCAACCCAGTCCTGAAGCCCAGTCCTGAAGCAAGTACTAGCTTGATGCTTGGCCTGATCAAGCCTAGTCTGGTGCCTGACTCGAAGCCTTTCCTAGGTTTACTGTTTGATCCAGCTCATAAAACTGGACTAATCTAATCTCTGTCAAAGTCGCTATCTCCGTAATTCATTAGATAGTAATATTGCTTTCTAATTTTTGTTCAGTTTAAAGTGAAATTGTACTAAACAGATGAACCTCTTTCCTCCAATTTCCAACAGATATCTCGATACTTTGACTCTCCGCCTTTCCCCTTTCCGCCACCATCTCCAACTAGTTTCAAAACTAAACTTTTATCAGTTTATAATCAATTTTATGTTCCAAACTCTTTTGTACATCTCCCGCATTCACTCCTTCTTGATTCACCGCATCGAGGACATTTGGACCCGATTTTCCTTTGCCTTTTTTTCGAGAAAATGCCGAAAGCATAGCATTTCTTTGCTAGAGATTTTTTTTGAGAAATAAATAAACCTCAAAGCCTCACCTTATTTCGAATCTTTACCAACTCAGTGACCGTCACCAATTTCCCTTCTCCGCCCTTGTAGAGAAATTCTCGAACTCTGATGTCAATAAAGCCGTCAATGATTGAGTGATCGCCCGTTTTGTGAGCGTATCTAAATAGCTATTTGACTAGCTTTTAAGCCAAAACAAGTCTAGTTTATGTTCTAACTTTTCTGGAAGCCAGCAGCAGTTTAACAGCAGTTGCTTTTAAGTCGGTTATCGTTAGATCAAAGAAATTTAGATCAACTATATCTAAATAGCTATTAGACTAGCTTTTAAGCCGAACCAAGTCTAGTTCAGGTTCTAATTCTTCTGGAAACCATCCATTTAACAGCATTTGCTTTTAAGATTCAAAGATCGTTAGATCAAAGAAATCTAGATCAACTGCTTTGGGAATTGATCCATCACTTTCATTTCTCTCACCTCATCCACGGGATCAGTTCCCCTCCACCGTGCATATCCACGAGTCGATAGAGAAGCATATCCTCCGACAATCGTCCCATCGTTCCCAGCTTTGCCTTCTCGGCTTCCGATGAATGGGAAGAGCCCATGATTGTGAGTGTTTTAAGGGAAAATTCTCAGGAATTCGAAATTCGAAATTGTCATAAAAATTTCCTGAATCGATATGGGGTCTGGTTGAAAAGAGAAAGAACAATTTGAAGATTTTCCCAGAAGAAGGTCGTGTTTTACATTCCAGAGGGTGAAAAAAAAAGAAGAACAAAAGAAAATAGAAAATAGGATCATCCTTGCTAGAGATTTAAATTGAAATCGTAGTTTCACTATGCGATGATGCTGAGTGATGAGAAAAGTTAAATTCAAGTTGAGCGTCTCTAAAAAAATCGTTTTTTCCGTCTTTTTTTGCATTAATATCTTTTTAGAGTTAATTACTATAAAAATAGTGTTTTTTTTAGCTTAATTATTGCAAATGCGAGCTTATCTTGGCTAACAAAACCTAAGTAAAAACAAGAAAAAGAACAAGAATACCAAGAACAGTAAAAATAAGAAAAAGAAACAATGAAAAACAAAATGTGTCGGAATGTTTATTGAAAATGGGCCATAAAACATGATTCTGACAATGAAATAATCCCTCGGTTTGTCAAAAACACGCGCAAGATGCTTAAAAATGTTTTAAAAAGATTAAAAGTTACAAGTTGTTATCTTGGCTATTGGAGCGAGCTTATATTAGCTCTTGGAGCGAGCTTATCTTGGCTCTTGGAGCGAGCTTATCTTGGCTCTTGGAGCGAGCTTATCTTGGCTCTTGGAGCAAGCTTATCTTGGCTCTTGGAGCGAGCTTATCTTGGCTCTTGGAGCGAGCTTATATTGGCCCTTGGAGCGAGCTTATCTTGGCTCTTGGAGCGAGCTTATCTTGGCCCTTGGAGCGAGCTTATCTTGGCTCTTGGAGCGAGCTTATCTTGGCTCTTGGAGCGAGCTTATCTTGGCTCTTGGAGCGAGCTTATCTTGGCTAACATCTTTCAGAATTTGGCCCAAGAAATGATTGACGGTTCAAAACGTATTCTATTCTTAAGTTCTTATTCTATTCTTGAGTTTGAAAATTTTCTGGTTGATTGAATTGATTGAAATCAATTGTTAAAAAAATTGAAACTTGAAAACAAATCAATTAATTGAAAAATCTAAAGCCAAAAGAGATTTGAGAGAGATTTGAAAACTTTAACGAGCTCATTGAGCTCATTGAGCTAAGAATTTGAAGAATTGTAAACCGATTTACGCTAGGGAAAGTATTGATTTACAAATTTCATCAGAAAAAAAACTCGATTTCAATCTTTGAGTCAAGAAAAATGACTTTCAAAAGAGCCAAGAAAAAGCTATAAAACTTATTAAGCGGTGGGTAAAGCTGAGAAAAAAGGAGTGATTGGATTGGATTCGGTGTCATGGGAATTCGGGGCTAAATTCCCATTGGGATTGGCTACAAAAATTGTGGTAGTGAAGGAAAAAGGGTGAAAAAGAGAGAACAGGTGAAAATTCCAATTTGCAGGAACTTTTATAAAACGGTTAGAGTGCGAAAGGAGTGAGTGGAAGAAGATCTTAAAGCAAGTAGGCATATCTAATGCACCATTTTCGCTTTCTAAGACAATACATTAAGCGAAGTACAATTAATCATGAAATCTACACATAATTCTACGTAGAATAAAAGAACGGTAATATTTTTTAATGACTTTGACAGCCCTAGTCGAGCAGCAGCTATGCGACGATGCTGAAAAAAGTTAAATTCAAGTTGAGTGTCTCTAAAAAATCTTTTTTCCGTCTTTTTCTGCATTAATATTTTTTTAGAGTTAATTACTATATAAATAGTGTTTTTTTGAGCTTAATTATTGCAAATTCGGGGAGTGGGACAAATGCGACTTTTTTTTTCCGCACCCGGACATTTGCGCACCTTTTTTTTCCGCAACTTGCCCATTAGCGCACCTTTTTCCGCGTTTTAAAAAAGCTAATATTAACCAATTTCTATTCCAAATGTTGTTTTTCTAGGTAATTTGAGGGTGTCGAATGTCAAAAACCAATTTGAAACACAAAACGGCTAGATCAAATTATCAAATTAATAAATTGTCGATTTTTCTCTTTGTATAACTCCGTCCGTTTGTTTCCACAAGCTCTGATATGTCAAAATTTCGATTCTACGCCCTAAAATTACCTAGAAAAAGAGCTTTTGGGATAAGAAATTGGTTAAGATTAGCTTTTAGAGCTTTTTAAAACGCGAAAAAAGGTGTGCTAATGGGCTAAGTGCGGAAAAAAAGGTGCGCAAATGTCCGGGTGCAAAAAAGGTCGCATTTGTCCCACTCCCCAAATTCGAGCTTATCTTGTCTAACAAAACCTAAGTAAAAACAAGAAAAAGAACAAGAATACCAAGAACAGTAAAAACAAGAAGAAGAAACGATGAAAAACAAAATGTGTCGGAATGTTTATTGAAAATAGGCTATAAAACATGATTCTGACAATGAAATAATCCGTCGGTTTGTCAAAAACACGCGCAAGATGCTTAAAAATGTTTTAAAAATAAAAAAAGTTACAAGTTGTTATGAGAAGTATAAGAACATTGAAGTAGAAAAATCCAATCACAGTCTTTTTCAATTTAACGCTATTTTTGTATGGGCGCTGTTTTAAACGGCGCTGTTTTAAACGGCGCTGTTTTAAACGGCGCTGTTTTAAACGGCGCTGTTTTAAACGGCTCTGTTTTAAACGGCGCTGTTTTAAACGGCGCTGTTTTAAACGGCTCTGTTTTAAACGGCGCTGTTTGACCGGGTCCCTTCAATCCAAAGCAATCATCATTTTTAGCCGTAAAATGTTTAGGAAACGATCAAGTAAGCATCATCACGTTCATTTCAGGTTTTCAGAAGACTTTTCTTCAAATTTACAACAGTTTTGAGCAGGTTTGTCTTAAGGACGGGCAAGACAGAATAATCGATTGGATTGAGATCCGGCGAGTCGAGTCAGAAAAAGAAATTGAAAATCTCCATTCAGAAAAACGGCTATAATTATGGGTCACCCTGTAAATTCAGGTTTAGCTCTAGTTCCGGCTGATTCAGGACTAAACCTTAGCGGTGAATCCAAAAAGCATCATCGAGTTCATTTCAGGAGACTTTTCTTCAAACTTACAACACTTTTGAGCAGGCTTTGTCTCAAGGACGAACAAGACAGAATAATCCAATTGGATTGAGATCCGGCGAGCTGAGTCAGACAAAGAAATTGAAAATCTTCATTCAGAAAAACGGCTATAATTATGGGTCACCCTGTAAATTCAGGTTTAGCTTTAGTTCCGGTTGATTCAGGGCTAAACCTTAGCGGTGAATTCAAAAAGCATCATCGAGTTCATTTCAGGAGACTTTTCTTCAAACTTACAACACTTTTGAGCAGGCTTTGTCTCAAGGACGAACAAGACAGAATAATCCAATTGGATTGAGATCCTAGTTCCGGCTGATTCAGGGCTAAACCTTAGCGGTGAATCCAAAAACCAGACTCGGCAACTCTAATCTTTTTCAACATTTTGTAGCTTTTGTAATTTTTCTACAAAAAGCAGCAATCCCAATGATTTTCTCATTTGACTTTTGCTCTCGGAAAATTGGAAAATTGCTCGGATGTCGGGTAGGAAGCGCTTGAAGTGAGAGTGAGAGATCCAGACTGGTCATCCCATTCACTGTCTCCATGCTGCGGTCTTGATCTCGGCTTTCTCCAGTTCAATCGAAAAGAAATACTGTTGAATGAATGAATGTCGTCTAGGAATCCTTTCACCATTCATTCGACACAATTTCTCCTCTTTTTTTCACTTTTCACAAGATTTCATTCGTTTTGCACAAAGATTTCTTTCGCTTTTTAATCCATTACTTTCTTTCTAAACTTATGCTTTACCAAGAGTCTTCTCAAGATGTCTTTTAGCTCTGATTACTAAACAAGACAACTTTTTTCTCAGGCTTTAGCTACTAAGATCAGTTTTTTCACAATCTTACTTAACTTTCTCTTACAACTTTTTTCATTGTTTGATTTTAACTTGCCCTCTAATCTTTTTGAAGTTTAGTTTCTTGATCTAGCTATAATTAACTATAATTATCATTGTTTATTTCATTGTTTGTTTCATTGTTTGTTTAGAAAACTGTTTACCGGACGTTTTTATGATTGTTCACTTTTAGATTTGTTTACTTTATCTTTCTTTCTGGATTTTAAAAGGGTAACACTATATACGGAAAGGGTTTACTAGATAGAAAACGATTGTAAGCGTGCACAAAGAACATCCGCCAGTCATTTGCATTGGGATTCTTCTTTCGCTTTGTTGACGCCACAAAAAGAAGATTTTTAGCTATAAATTTGTGCCCAGGGGTTTTCGGGATCGGGGAATCGATTGGAGCTATTCATTTTATTGAGTCAACGAATCTGAAGCTATTCTGAAGTCTACCAATTGGAACTTGAGTCTACCAATTGGAACTTGAGTTTAATTAGTCGAAACGTTTAGATAAAATGCAAACGTTTCCTTTTAACAGACCTGTATTACTTGCAGATAATTTGGTTTTAGTGAGAATCGATCTTAATTCAGATCCCTTCTTTAAGAGCATAGATATTATGTGATTACGATTTACTTTTTAATCATTTATCATTTGCTAAACACTTTGAAAGCCTTAAAACGGACTCTTGTCTCAACTCAGAACCTGTCTTTTCTCGAAGTAGTGTGGAAAGAAAAAGTGGAAATGAGTGGAAGTGGAGGGGAGATTGTGGAATTGACCTAGATTTTGTTTCTTCAAAGATTTCTACTTTTTTTTGCTTTCTTTTCCCTTTCATTCAAATCATCTCAAAGTCAAAAATTGAAGAAGTTTTTCAAATCCATTTTTTCAATTGTTTCATTGTTTCAATAATCCAAAAAGTTTCCAATTTCGACTTTTCAATTTTGCCTTTAATTTCTGGATGAGAGAATAGAGCTTTTTCCCTTCGAAGTTTTCATTGAATAGATAAGAATTGTTTAAGCAAATCCACCATTTAACAGCACAGCTCTTTCAAGAACGAAGCTTACTACAAGATTATGAAACTATCAGTATAAATAGCAAGATTC